GGGGGGGGCACTGGGTCAGAGGAGGGCGTTCTCGGGGGGGCACTGGGTCAGAGGAGGGCGTTCTCTGGGGGGGCAGTATGGTGTGGAGGTGCATGGTTGAGCCTGGTTAGCTGACTCCAGAGGCACGGAGTGTTTCTATACAGGCAGCATGGGAGAAAGGGTTGGTGATTGCTTCTCGGACCAGACTTGTTGGTGTTTCAACAGTTGTGACCTGCTGCAGTTTCTTGGCTTCCCCTCAGGTTCCTGGTGTGAACTGGCTGTGTCCCCACAGCAGTTGTGTATTTGAATTACGTATGTGTTCTTGATTCTGGAGGGTGCGGTGGGGAAGGCTTTCTTTCTTTGCTGTTTGGAGCATACTGTCTATGTTTCCCTGTAGCTGACAGCTTTATCTGAAAGCTACTGAATCACAGGAAAGAGTGAACACCCCAGCCCTCCCTGCTCTCACGCAGGCCAACACTCCGCTCCGCTCTCCCAACTGCTTGGCTGCAGAGCTGTGGGCAGCTGACAGGGAGGGAGGCATGGGCAGGCTAGATTCTGGCTGGCCACTGGTTAGTGACCTAGGGTGGCTGTGGGGAGTGGGGGGCAATAGGCCTGCTTCATGGGGGTGGGTGGGTGATGGTGCCTTGTGGCCAGAAATGGCCTGCTGGCGGGTGGGCAGCTGGGAGGTGGGAGGGGGTTCCCAAGACTTACGGCTCCAGGAATGGGGAGGGCATCTGGAGGTTTCTGGGTTTTGGGGTGACGGTGCTGTGGGCATGTGAGGGGTGGTACTGGGTGTGCAGGTGAAGGCAGCTGGATCAATCTGGGTTGGGGTCAAGGGTTCTCAGATGGCATCAACTGGCAGTTGCTGAGTGGGGGTGTGACTCCCTTGAGGGAGAGGGTCCCTAAGAGGCTGGGAAGGGTGGACCTGGGGCAGGGTGGGCAGGGAGCCCAGGGAGTAGGTCCTGTCCAGATGGAGGGACAAGACAGGGATGGATTCATGTCCCCAGAGTGCCAAACCCCAGTGCTGGGTGGTGCATGCTACCCCTCACACCCTCTGGGGTGCCTCTGTACCCCTCTTGTCTTGTACCAAGGGGGCGCACCATCCCCACCCACCTGTTGCTCACTGCTGTGCTTTCCCTGCAGGTCTGAGTTCACCGACACCATCCTGTCCGTGCACCCCTCTGACGTGCTGGACATGCCTGTGGACCCGAATGAGCCCACCTACTGCCTGTGCCACCAGGTGTCCTATGGGGAGATGATAGGCTGTGACAACCCAGACGTGAGTGTGGGCGCTGGGCACAGGCCGTGGGCGGGGCCCTGTGGCCCCGGTGGGGGGTGGCGGGTGGGGGCTGTCGTCTTTTGGTGTCCAGCCCATGGAGCGCAGAGTCCTGACTGTGGCCTCCCCTCTGCCTTGCAGTGTCCTATTGAGTGGTTTCACTTCGCCTGTGTGGACCTGACCACGAAACCCAAAGGAAAATGGTCAGTATGGGGGGCTGCTCTGTCCTTCCCTGTCTGCGGGCCGTCCTGTGCACTGCTCCCCTGCAGAGCCGGGCTGTGGCCTCGGCACTCCGGTTCAGCGCTCCTGGTTCCTGGGGCTGAGCTGGTAGAGGGACACCTGCTGTCACCTCACCTGGGGGCAAGTCCTTTATGACGTTTTCGTGATTCTTCTAGAGAATAGCTGTTTTGACTTTTTGGATTGAGGTAGAGATACTCTTAAATACAAGTGTGAAATGGGGAGCTCTTTTCCCTGGAGAAATTTTGGGAAAAGGCAAAGAGCGTGAGCATTGAGACCGATCCAGACCTGGGCGCAGGCCAGGGACCTGCCGAAGGGCTTCTATTTAATTGGGAAGGTGTTCAGAGCACATGAGCACTTTCTGTTCCTGATCCTTGTGCTCAATGGCAGCTTTTGTGTTCTGAGATTTCGTTTAAATAAACACTTAGAACACTGGGCCCAGGTTTTTATTTACCTGTGCTTAAAACGGACATCTGCCCTAAAATGAAATCTCGGGAATCTTGTTCTCCAGAGGAGATGAGAAAGCCCTGAAGGATAGGCTGTGTCGTCCAGGCTTCAGTAGGTGACGGCAGCCACGTGCAGTCCCAGCACCGGGTCACCTTGGAGTCTGAGCAGTCACGGGATGCACCCCTGAGTGGGGGTGGGGTTCCCTGCAGCTGGGCGGGCACCTGAGCGTGGGGTAAGGGGTGGGGGGCTGCTGGCCACCTGTGGGGCAGGTGTGACTTGTGGTGGGGCGCGAGGCAGGGAGATCTGATTTGAGTTTGGACAGGGGTTTGAGTTGTTTGTGGAACTTCTGGGTGGAAGAGTCCGTAGGTGATGGAAAACCATTTTGCTTCTGGGAGGGCCGTGCAGATGGGCGTCCACCCATCGTGTGCTAGGAACAGGGCAGGACAAGCAGAGTTGGGGAGGCCGGGTGGGCCCCACTCCTGCTCTCTAACTCCGTGTTTCTCTGGGGTCAGTGTTCAGGCTCCTTCCCTGTTAAGTAGGATTGAAGCTCGGATACGTGTTGGTGCCGCACGAGCCGCATGTGAGCATGTTTGCTGGGGAGCTTTGCTTTCTCTGGGGCAGCGGCAGCAGCGTGCTCAGAGCTCACTCCCTGGCACAGAGCACACACTGGCAAGTGGTGGCCTGGGGCCTGGGTGGGTGCATCCCGTGGCATCAGCTGTCTCCTGCGTCGGGAGCCAGGAGGGCTGAGGTGGAAAGCAGCGGGAACGATCCCTGTGTCACTCACAGCTGCCCTGGCCCAGGAGTGACCAAGGGCCGCCTCCTGTGTATGAGGCGCTGACCCTGCTTGCCCAGGGTCACCAGGAGCACTGGCTAATCACGCAGGTCCCAGGGCCCTCTCGGCCTGCCCGCCCGGCTGGGTGTGCCTCACGCCATGTTCCGCGCACCATGCTCCGCGCGCTTGGTCGCCAGCCCCTCTGGTCGCCAGCGTGGCTGTGGGTGTCGCCTCCACTCTGATCACTGACGACCCCGGCGTCACACAGGGACCACCAGTTAACTTGATGGTGAGCAGTGTTCATGCGTAGAGACAGTCTTGCACATTGATTCGTATCTGTCGACTCCAAAACACGTGCTGGCTAGGGTGACTTGCTGGGGTTCCCCCTCGCCGGGGGTTTTCCGATGCGAGGGCCACGTGCTCTGTGCACTCTCCCCTGGCGCCGTCCCGGTGGCCCGGGGAGGCGGGCTGTGGGCCTCTGCACGCACAGGGCCGATCACCGTGTCTTTCTCCTCAGGTTCTGTCCACGGTGCGTTCAGGAAAGGAGGAAGAAGAAGTAAGGCTGATGCCTGGACTAGAAGAGCAAGTTAATATATTCCTTCTTCACGTTGCAATATTTTCTCTTCATTTTAAAACTACCTTGTTTCAAATGATATTTAAAAACTCAGTGGCCAGTTGTAATTCTGGATACTTCCTAAAACAAACAAAAATCCACCTGAGCCCTGTTTGCACAAGGAGCGCTCTAACGGGGACTCGCCACAGTGACTTCATTATTGGAGACTTTGTACCGGCCCTGCGCCGAGCCCGGCAGGCGCGCCGAGGAGCCGAGCCTTCTGTGGGGGCTGCGGCGGGGACCGCCCAGCCTGTGCAGTACCGTCACTCTGCAGCTGAGGCGTGAGCCTGCGAGGTCTGTCCCTCCTTCCTGGGGCTGCACCCAGTACCTCTGGAAGCACATCTGTCCCCGCTGAGGTGCCTACGCGTGTGGGACCTGGCGAGGCCTTGCTGGAGGGCGTCTGCCGTGTCCGAGCTCTGGGCCTGGGCCCGTGGCCCGCCTGGGAAGGGCGGGCTCTCCCTGGAGGAGGAGGTCTCTGCTTCGCTGTGCACTGCCTTTTTTGTCTGGACTCCCAGTTCCCTCTGTGAGGGTTTTACCTTCTGGAGTAAATGGCTCTTCGTTAGCACACGGGTGGTCATTACCGTGACCGGTCCGCAAGAGACGTGTGACAGACAGCTGATGATCCGTTTCTCTGGGAATTCCTGACGTTTTTACTGTGAAGATGAAATTATCGTAATAGCATGAAGATCGTGGGTCTGTGTGTATGTGAAGTGAGTCCGGTCCAGTAAGAGCTCTGATTTTTTTACACCTGTTCTGTCGTACACCGGTCAGCAGCTCCTGTCCGAGGGGACGACGATTATGTGATGCGATTTGTGAATTTCTTGTGCCACGCAGTTCTGGAATGAAGCTAGGAAACTAGAGTGTGTTTTCTGTTTGATCTGCATTCACCAAACCAATCTTGAACCGTGTTTTTGGGAATAATTGGGGGAAATTGTGTATGTTTGGTGTGCTGAGATCCATTTGTGAGGGTGCATAGTGTGACTTCTGGGAGCATGCGTGGACTCTGAGATCCTCCAGCATACGTTTAGAGGAGCCTGAGGAGTCCCGAAGAAAGAGGGAAACCTGTTTCTGTCCTCGAGGCAGGAAAAGAAATCCAGGTGGCGGAGTCGAGATGTCAAATTCCCAATTGAAGAAGAATCTTGTCTTCTTTATCACGAGGCCTTCTGGAACGGTGCAGCTGCTTCCTCCAGTGGCCTTGTTTACCGAATGTTCCCTCCTGTTCTCTAATACTTCACCAAGGACAGGAGATGACACGGAGAGAAACTTGGGGGACTGTGTCCTGCGTGGGCTACTCCTCACCGAGGCAGTTCCTGGTCGGTAAATGAGAGCTGAGTGTTAACTCCGACGTCAGAGGCAGGGAGGGGCCCGGTCGACCCTGTGTCTGTGGTTCTGGACGTGGCAGCCTGCACCAGACCTGCTGTCCTGCCGTCCTTTCTGGGGCTTCCAGGGGACTGCAGGTGAGGCCAGTTCGGAGAGGGCCACCCTTTCCGTCCTGGGCTGCGTGGTTAGGGTAGGGGGTCAGCAGCTGGCCTGAGAAGCTATCCCGGAACTGAAGCCCTCCTCCTCAGAAGGGGGGGGTGGGGGCCTCAGAATGCACGCCGGCCGGCACATGCCCCTCCATCTCAGCCGCAGCCGAAAACGAGGCTTGTTTGTATTTAGTAAGTTAGCTTTTTGTTAACACAGGTGTTTAAAGATTGTGGGGAATAAATTGTGGAAAATTGTTTTCTTCACTCTTCTGTCAGTTTTTGTGGAGAGGATAGGTAAGTACATGAGTTTGTGATGATTCTTTGGAAGGTAGTTTAATATTTGCACTGCATCTTAGAACACTTCCCAGCTGCCGCCATCATGGGGAAACCGGTGTCTGGGGGCGTGGGCTGATGGCTGGGCAGGGGCCTCCCTCACTGCGCAGGAGGGACGCTGACTTCCCTGTCGGGAGCTGGAATGTGATGCCGTCCTCCGCTGGTCACTGTGTAACGGCCCAGCTGCCGGCTTTCTCTTTGTAGGTTCTGTGCCTGGCTGTCTCTAGTGTTTGCTTTTGTCGGTTGCATAAATATCTCCAAAACAACACCCATAGATAGAGCTTTGGAGACAATAAGACATGAGCAGAGTAGGAAGATTTATTCCCTGGAACGCCGTTTGGACCAGCACGGGTCCGCTGCCCCTCCCTGACTGTGAATGCCGCCGGGACAATGCTGTTTGCTTGGGAAAGACTTTGTCCTGCCACCTGGCCCGGCTCCAGCCCCGTGGGCGTGGTGGGCGCCAGCCGAGGATCGCCCCGTGAGGCCTGGCCACCTACCTCGGGGTGATGCCCACCAGACCCCGTCTGCCTGCCGGGCACCAGATCTGACCTGGAGGCGACTGCAGAGCCCTGTCTCTTGGGTTGAGGGGGGTCTGGCCTGGGCCCAGAGGTCCCTGTTGCAGCTGCACCTGAGCCAAGGGTGCGGGCCCTCCATGGCTGTGGGGTTTCCTTGTAGGGAAGAAGCGCCTTGTTCAGAGGGGACTCAGCATGTTCCTTGCTGTCAGTGCTCTGTTAGCAGTCAGCAGTCAGCAGTTTGACCAATAGCCTCTCGTTTTCCTCTGGAACAACACGTGCTACACTTACAAAAGTAATTTGTTAAGGTGAGCCTCCCACATCCGTGGTTGTGCTCATGGAGCTGCTGCAGACCCTGAGCTGAGGCCTGTGTGACTGGGGTCCCCGGGCGGGTGGGTGTGATATGCCACTGGCCACGGCCACGGGAGCCTGATGGCTTCTGGTCTGCACAGGAATGACGGGGGTTTGCTGGGACGCGTGGGGACGGTGGCCTCGTCCTGGCCGGCCACGCGGCACTCCCGACTGGTAGCTGGCAGCCCTGGCAGGGTCTGCCTCGAGCAATAACACTGTCCGGAGAACAGCTTCCCCGTGTGGCCGCGGTCGCCGCGGGCCTTGGAGATAGGAGGTTTTTCTCAGTTGTTAGCCATGACTGGTCCTCGTTACCTGTGCCGAGAGGAGTTTTAAAACAGGAAGTCTAAGAAAAATGTTCTCACTTGGGAGAGAGTTCTGTGAAGTTTCTTTCTTCCTACAAATGTATTTTGTGGTGTTCACTTTTACCACATTTCATCCAAAAAGATGATGCAGCTTTAACACGAATGTTACATTTTATTTTCAAGGAATTATCTATGTTCCCTTTGTAAAGGAAAGATAATATTGTAAATCTTTTTATTAAATAATGTAAAGATGTATATCTGTATTTTTGGATCATGTTATAGATTATGGATATATTGTTTAATAAATAAAGTATTTTTTGGAACAAACGTTTGAGAAGGAGTCATTCTAGGAAGTGATAAGACCTCAGTGCTGTGGCCAGAGATGGTAAGTACACCCTCCGTTGAACTGTAAAGGGGTGTGCAGTGAATGGGAGGAGAGGTGTTTGGCTGCCAGGGGCCCGGGCCAGTCCTGGCCTCAGCTGCTGTGCGTGGTGTCAGGAGCTGGTGCCTGAGCCCACAAGAAATGTCTGTGTAGAATACTTTGAGTCGCTGTTTTATAAAGGCATAAAATGCTTTCTCTGGAACAGATCTGCCCTCTCAAATCTGCACAGGTGTGAAGACCCCTTTGGGAACTATATAGTACTTAGGACATTTTTCCTTGAGGAGTGTTAATGGTCAGGGTCCTGAAACCCAGCTCGGTCACCATGACGGAGAGGCCCAGGCTCTGACCTGTTTTCCAGATGACAATTCACACACCCAGAGTCCTTGCTGGAGGGAGGGTGAGGTTCTGGAGGAAGGGCCTGGAATTTCCCTCTGGGCCCTCCAAGGGTGCCTGCAGCCATTTGTGGGGGTGACTGCCTAGGAAAAGGGAACACCAGTGTGTTGTTTTGGGGTGGGTGTAGTAATCTCCACTGGCTCTGAGAGGTTGCTGAGTCGCAGAGGTCCACGATGCCCCTGGTCGACTAGTCCAGGAGGGCCTGCCGTGATCAAGTGACCGGTAGCATATGTCTGAGTGTGTACACAGACTGGTGTGCTTGTAGCAGGGGCGCTGATTAGGATTTGGAGCTGGGGGGCTGGCTGCACCACTGCGGGTAAGGTGGGGAGCAGGGAAGGGGGTGCCCTGTGGAGCTGGGACTTACGTCTGAGGGGAGCGTGCTGCCTGGCGGCGGCTGGCACCCCTCAAGGGAATGTGACGACACCGGGAGCTGTCGCAGTGCTGGGGGTGATGCCACAGGGACACCCAGTGGGTCTCCCCCGCCTTTGTCTTCCTCTGGTGCCCTGCCTAACAGGCCCCACAGGCCAGGGGTCAAGGGCGGGCCGGAGCCCAGGGCGGCTGGCCCTGGAGGGGCTGTGAGAGCAGCGTTCCTGCCAGGTCTGGGTCCCGGCGTCCGCGTCACCCAGGCCTGGTGCGGCCCCTCTGACCTCTCCTCACTTGAGTCCTAGCTCTGGGCCTTTGTTCAGGAAAAGGTCCAGGCTGTGTGCACCGGCTGCTGTCTGAGCTTTGTGGGCTCGGCCTGTGATGCCCACCCGACTTGCTGGAATATCTGCCCTTCAGCTGGAGGAGGGGTCGGGGCAAGGTGCTGGGTGCTTGGGAGCCAGAGTTCCCTGCTGGGGGCAGAGGTCTGCGGGGAGGGGGACAGTCCTCCGGGGGTAGCCAGAGACCCCTGGGGGGGCAGAGTTCCCTGCAGGGAGCCCCGCAGCAGGACGAGGAAGGGGGCGGTCAGGGTGGGCTACGGTAGAGCCGGCCCTCGGGAAGGGCTGGGAGAGTGTGCGGGGAGCCCTCCTGGACACACGGGTCAAGGCCGGCAGTCCCGCGGTGCGAGGCGGGCCAAAGGACGCGCCGGGCGCAGCCGCGGCCCGCAGGACCAGGGGCGGGGCCTGGACGTCGCCTGTCCTGTGGGGGGCGGGGCCTAGCGGGGGCGGGTCGGAGGGCGCCAGTGCGCAGGCTCGGTCGGTCCCGGGACGGGCGTGCGGCGCTGGCGGCGGCGGCGGCGGCGGCGGGACGGGGGCGCGGACGTGAGTGCGCGCGCGCGGCCGCCGGGGGCCCGGG